CATTGTAGAGCACAAACTGCAGTACTTGTGGCATCTGGGCTTAGTTGCCCCATGGCATATGAGGTCCTCCCAGACCGGGGACTGAACCTGGGTCCTCTGCTTTGGCAGGCGGATTCTTAACCACTGAATCCCAGGGAGGCCTTGTGGGAGAATTCTTTTTTTTTTTTATTTATTTTTATTAGTTGGAGGCTAATTACCCTAGAATATTGTAGTGATTTTTGCCATACATTGACATGAATCAGCCATGGATTTACACGTAAGCTTTTCTCTCTCATCTGCTCTGACAACCCACCAGGTTGCTTCCTGGGAACCTGTCTCTGGACTTCCAGAAGGTGGCTCTAGAGCTCCAGTCTGCAGGAACCCTCACTCAGAGCAGGGACTGGTGTTCTGATCATGTTTCTGGTCTACCCAAGCTCCGCAGGATGTTGCCGGGGGAGGGTCCCACAAGGAGCCCCCGAAGAGTGGGGGGAGGTGTGGGTCCAGCACTTGGGGTACTGAGGGTGCCTGTGGATGCAGCAGAGAGATCCCCCGGTGTGGTGCTCCCAGAGGCCTGCGATTGGACTCCCTGAGAAAAGCAACCCCTTTCATGCCTTTTGACATGTTTATCTGTGTCTTTCCAAATATTCTTCCTCTCCCTCCTCATGGAGGTCCCGTCTCAGGTCTCTGGGGCTGCTGTAGATGTCTTTCTCAGGTGTCTCCTGCGATGTCCTGCAGAACGAGGGTAGCTGAGCACTCACTCATCACTCCCCTTCTCTGTGGGGGGATGTTTTCTTACATGGGGGAGTGGAAAGATTCTCTCACCTCCATCTTTGCTTTGACCAGAATTGCTTTTTTTGGAGTGCCAGAACCTCCCTGCAGGAAAGCTGACCTTCTGCAAGTTCTCTCTCACACACGAGAATCTGCCCGGGTCAGAATCCATGTCTCCTGCCTTGGCAGGCAGATTTACCACTGAGCCACTAAAGAAGCCCTAAATGAAACATCTTTTGACCTCTGGCTATTCTGGGGATTTTTCAGAGAGCTCCTAAAATGTCTCAAAGAATGATATTGACCTCATTACACTTAGGCATACTGGCAGGTATAATTACGTGGGTATCATCAGCAGATCCCCTGGAAGAGGGCAGGGCAACCCACTCCAGTATCCTTGCCAGGAGAATCCCATGGACAGAGGAGCCTGTTGGGTTATAGTCTGTTGGGTCTCAAAGAGTTGGGCACAACTGAAGTGACTGAGCGCACATGCGTTGTCAAACAAGTGATGATAAACCTTCTTAGGTTATATTGGAAGGATAAATGTTATCAATATGTGTTCTAACAATTTTATGAAATTCCTAAAAATCTGATATGCCTTGGTAAATTATCAGTCACAATTCAGGATATTATCTTAAAAATCTGAATGTTACAGAAATAACCAAAATTCTCTTTTCTTTTTTCCTTACATTGATTGTTATTTAATTTTCCATCAACAGAGCCAAACACCCTAGCTCTGAAATTCCCATCTTAGCTAGGTTATGTAAGGATTCATCCTGTGTCTTAACTCTCTACTTCTTTGCCAAGCCTTTAGAGGGTTAGAGGGAAGGTTAGGTGACTTTTCCAGGTTCACATGGCCAGTAAAGTGAGGAGACATGGGGTGAAGGAAGAGGAATGTGTGAAGCCTGGAGGGTGTCCATGTAGTACCCCTGTCCCTGGAAAGACAGCAGACCCTCAGTCATCTCCCTAAACCCCTTCCTCACCTTCTTGCCCTGCTCACAACCACTCACTGACTTCCTGCGATCTGTGGTAACCACCCATTTAAATAACACATACATGGAATAACACACTCATGATTTGCTCTTTCTCCTTCCCCTGCCAACTGTTTCCCCCTCTCATCAATCTACACCAAGAATAATCATTTTAAAAATCTTTCATTCCATGAGATGCCTACCTACATCAATCACTTCATGATATTCATATGAAAGTGAGATCAGAAAAAGGAAAGAGGTTCTCATCTCACAGAACCCTGCATCACCATCTCCTCACCCCTCTTTTCTCTCCCCTGCTCCCCAATTTCTCTCTGCATTTTTTCTCTCCTGTGAAATGATCTAGCCAACACCATCTAGACATTGTTGTTGTTTAGTCTCTAAGTCGTGTCTGACTCATTTTGAGTCACCTGGTGTAGACCACCAGGCTCCTCCATCCATGGGATTTTTCAGGCAAGAACACTGGAAACAGTTGCTATTTCCTCCTCCAGGGGATCTTCCCAACCCAGGGATTGAACGTGTCTCCTACATTGGCAGCTGGATTCTTTACCATGGAGCCACCAGAGAAGACCAGTCATAGATTAGACATGGCCTTAAAGTCTCATTTTCTGTTCCAAGTAGTTTAACAAAATATCACTTTTCCTAAACAAATACTGTGGTCTCCCTTTGATAATTGCTGGTAAATAAAAAGTTCCCCATCTTGGGTCATGTAAAATATTACATGTACATATGATTTTTTCCTTAAATATCTCATCGAATATTACTGAGCACTTATTGCATTCCAGACACTGTTTAAGCCACTAGGAAGCAAATGGTGGTGAAAAGTGTGACTGCAAATGTGGGAGGCCTTAAAGAGGTAGTTAAGGTTAAATAAGGTCATGAGGATGGTCCCTAATAAAGTTTGACTATACCCATATGTCAAGACGATATTAGAATACAGAGAGCATACACAGACACCAAGAGGTGACAGATTTACCAAAGAGTATTACAAGACAACTAGATACATTGATTTTAGATCAACAATGAACCTTAACACATATACTTTATTACATATATTACATATACATCTACTGTGCACATTAACTATACATATTTTAATATATACCTACACATGTACAAGAATATGTCATTTTATTGTGCTTTGCAGATGCTGCACTTTTTGCAAACTGAGGGTTTGCAGCAACTATGGGTTGTCAGATGACAGCTAGCATTTTTCAGCAATAAAATACTTTCAAGGTAAAGTATGTACATTTTTTAGACAGAATATATAGCACACTGAATAGACTACAGTGTAGTGTAAACATAAGTTTACATGTATTCAGTTCAGTTCAGTCACTCAGTTGTGTCCGACTCTTTGTGACCCCATGAACAACAGCACGCTGGGCCTCCCTGTCCATCACCAACTCATGGAGTCCACCCAAACCCATGTCCATTGATTCGGTGAAACCAAAAAAATTGTGTGACTCTCTTTATTGCCAGTTCTCTTTACTATGGTAGTCTGGAATCAAACCAGGAATATCTCAGAGGCATGCCTGCAGGGTCCTGTTGTGGTTGTTCAGTTGCTAAGTGGTGTACAAGTCTCTGTGACCCCATGGACTGCAGCACACCAGGGTCCTCTATCCTCCACTATCTCCTGGAGATGTCCATTGAGTCAGTGGTGTTATCTAAACATCTCATTGTCTGTTCCCTCTTCTCCTCCTGCCCTCAGTCTTTCCCAGAATCAGGGTCTTTTCCATTGAGTCAGTTCTGTGCATCATGTGGCCAAAGAATTGGAGCTTCAGCATCAGTCCTTCCAATGAATATTCAGGGTTGATTTCCTTTAGGGTTGGCTGGTTTGATCTCCTTGCAATACAAGGGGCTCTCAAGAGTCTTCTCCAGCACCACAGTTTTCAAAAGTATCAATTCTTCAGTGTTCAGCCTTCTTTATGGCCAAAGTCTCACACCCTTACAGGACCACTGGAAAAACCATAGCTTGGACTAGACAGACCTTTGTTGGCAAAGTAATCTCTCTGCTTTTTAATATGCTGTCTAGTTTTGCCATAGCTTTCTTTCCAAGGAACAAGCATTCTTTAATTTCATGGCTACAGTCACTGTCTGCAGTGATTTTGGAGCCAAAGGAAAGAAAATTTGTCACTGCTTCCACTTTTTCATCTTCTATTTGCCAGGAAATGATGGAACCAGATGCTATGATCTTAGTTTTTTTGAATGTTGAGTGTTAAGCCAGGCTTTTCGCTCTCCTCGTTCACCTTCATCAAGAGGCTCTTTGTTTCCTCTTCACCTTCGGTCATTAGGATGGTATCATCTGAGGTTGCTGATAGTTCTCCTGGCGATCTTGATTCCAGCTTGTGATTCATCCAGCCCAGCATTGTGCGTGATGTACTCTGCACTAGGTTAAATAAGCGGGGGCACCATGTAGCCTTAACATGCTCCCGTGCCAGTCTTGGGCTGGTCCACCATTCCATGTCCGAGTCCAACTGCTGCTTCCTGACCTGCATACAGGTTTCTCAGGAGGCAGGCCAGATGGTCTGGTATGCCCATCTCTTTAAGGATATTCCACACTTTGTTTGATCCACGCAGTCAAAGGCTTTGGCATAGTTAATGAAGCAGAAGTTTATGTTTTTCTTGAATTCCCTTGCTTTCTCTGTGAGCCAACAGATGTAGGCAATTAGATCTCTGGTTCACATACCTTTTCTAAACCCAGCTTGTATATGGAAGTTCACAGTTCATGTACTGCCGAAGTCTAGCTTAAGATTTTGAGCATTACCTTTCTAGGCTGTGAAATGAGCACAGTTGTTTGGTAGTTTCAATATTCTTTGGCATTACCTCTTGGTATTAAAATGAAAACTAACCTTTTACTTCAAACTTATTTATGACCTAATATTTATAGTGTGACTCTTACACAATATATGATTACCTATGTTTCCTCCTCAAGTGGCCAGCTCTGTACTCATGCTGGAGATGGGAACAAGGAGTTGTTTCTCAGGTGCCAGGTTAACATTTTATTTCTCCCCCTGGTTATGTTGTTGTACTTCCTTTGTGAAAATTGGTCTTGCTGCACACTTAACAAGCCTGTACTTTTCTGTATGTACATCATGCTTTGAAAAGCATACTTAAAAATTAAAAACATTAAAGTCACTTTGTCCACTGGCAATAAAGGCAAGGCTGTAGATACATACACCGTCACATCCATAGAGGCTGAAAGTGTTCATGTAGCAGAAGACACCTCCTATGTATGTAGGGATTCTACACAGCATCTGTGATCTTTGGTTAAGATGACTCAGCAGTAGGGGTGTTTTTGTCAAGAGTCTGGGAGGTGGAAGCTGGTGTTTGTTGCTCATCGTTCTCCTCCAAGCTGTGTCGGATCCCGTATCCAAAGTATATGAGAAATCCTAGTAAGGAAATGAGAAAATGAGAAGGATAAGTAGGCACTATTCCTGGTTACAAACATCCAATAGGCCTCCTGTTATGGTGGCCAAGACGTTTAGGGGAGCTCAGTTTAGGATCAGTCACTCAAGAGGTCTCTTCATCCCAGAAAGCCACTTACCAATCACATTCCAGATGCCAAATATGGCCCAGGTCCCAGAAGTTATCTGCATCATCAAGTAAATATTCACAAAGATGGTCACCAGTGGGAAGACAGGCAGAGCAGGGACCTGTGGGGCAGAGTCAGTTCATCCCTGAACACACCCCAGATGCCTGAATGAGAGACTACCCCACGTGGGCAAGAAGACCAGCTTTCAGACTGTATTCAGTGCCTATTCAGACTCTGCAGGTAAAGTACTGAGTGTGGATCAGAGAAGTGTCCATCAGTTTTAGCTGTTCCCCTCACTCCCTGGATGTTTAGACCATGAAGCATGTTCACTCAAGGTGGACAGTTTGGGCACATGAGGTCACTTACCTTAAAATAAAGAGGAGTGTGGTTCTGGGGCTGCCTCCAGATGATGACCGTGACCCCAATGATGAGCAGCAGCAGCAGCACAGTCACTGGTGTGTACGCGGAGTCTGCAGAGAACTCCTGACTGGACCACTGGACCAGGATGAGGCTCAAGATTATCATTAGGAGAACTACAGGGGTCATGGTGGAGGAGAAGAGGTTCAACTTCAGAAGCTGAAGATGTCCAACCTTGGGTCACACCCCTCCCCAGGCTGCCCACCTCAGGAAGGGCCATCATATCACCAAGACTCCTCAGTTGACAAAATACACACTCCAACACCTTAATGTCAATTTAAGAAAAACACCAAAGAGAAATCCCACTGCTCACCGAGTAGTGAGGCACATCCATAGACAATCTGGCCAGATTCCCTAGTGGGGGTGGTGCTGGGAGGGAACCACAACCTCTTTAGAATGTTTGAGTTTCTTGCTTCAGGTTCAGAGTCCAAAGGATGTTCATCAGAGTCAGGCACCTCACTTTCCTTCCCTGTGTTCTCATTCTTGCTTAAATTCTGGTCTGGCTGGTACCTGAATTAGAGGTTTTAAGTCAATATTAACAGCAGCCCCTCCTCATCCAACATCACACAGCCTATTCCACATCTGTCCTGTCTTTAGCAGAGCAAGACTTTTAGAAGATAGCATGAAGGCAGAAGACGGTTACCTCCCATCTAATCTCCAAGACTCCCTAACGAGGTGTAGTGCGGTCTCACCTGAGGACAAGAACAGAAAATGCCACCAAGGAGTAAACGAGCAGGGTCCCCACTGACACGAGGTCCACAAGATTTGTGAACGTGAAGAGCAACGCCATGAGCCCTAGAATGAGGGCACAAACAAGGTGGGGAAGGGAGTGAGAAACAGCTGGAAATAATGTGAGCTAAAGCGTGGGTTTCAATTTTTTTTTTTTTTTTTACCTGTAAGATTTCCAGCAGACATGATGGCCATGACATGGGTGCCTGTGCGGACATGGATCCAGGTAAGTCTCCGGAAAAGGAGCCCGTCCTTTGCCATCATGTAGATCAAAGGAGGCATTCTGAACATGGCACTATAGAGTCTGGAAGAGAAAATGGAAACATGTAAGGATGTTGAGAAGCAAGGCAGACCGGGGCTTCTGCTCTCTTTTTGGTTTGGGGTAAGGTGTCTCTGTCTTCTCTACCCATCCTAAGGGTTGGGAGATCTGATCATGTGAGAGTGCTGCTGCTGCTGCTAAGTCGCCTTGGTCGTGTCTGACTCTGTGTGACCCCATAGACAACAGCCCACCAGGCTCTCCTGTCCCTGGGATTCTCCAGGCAAGAACACTGGAGTGGGTTGCCAAAAGTGAAAGGTGAAGGTGAAGTCGCTCAGTCATGTCTGACTCTTAGCGACCCCATGGACTGCAGCCTACCAGGCTCCACCATCCATGGGATTTTCCAGGTATGTGAGAGTAGACAGGGAGAAAACCATGGCACTGACCTGGATATAAGAGCACAGAGGGTGCCAATAGCCACGAAGTATCTGGCAGGGAGCCACCAACTATGGAGAATGGCTTGTGGCAAAGGGTCGTGAGGCTGAATCAGGTGGTAGGGCACCATGAGGGTGAGTGCCGCTGAGACACCAGAGTAAGCCAGAAAGCAGATGAAAATTGTGATTGCGATGCTCCAGGGGATGGAACGATGAGGATTTAGAGCTTCTACCCCTGCAGAAAGGGAAGAAATGTTGGGTCAGGAGAACACACTGGGGTGAAATCACAAAATCCCCTTCCTTTTTGCACTCCACAAGCAGGTTTCCCCTAATCCAGGAGCAGCCAGTCTGTTCCCAAACCCCAGATGGGACACACAATGACCATGTTACCTTTAGTGGCAACAGCATCAATACCAAAAAAATAGTAGAAACATGTAGCTGCTCCCTGGAGAATCCCTTCAACGCCAAAAGGTGCAAACCCTCCAGAACCCAGAAGGCCCGAGCTACGGTGAAAAAAGGAAAGAGAAAGAACTTGTGTGAGGTATGTTCAGCCATCTCTACTGAGTTTCTCCCTTCATACCTCAAGTCCTGGGCTCCAGGACTCGCTTCATTTGGATCCATCAGCCCAGATATCTTTAGTCCACACCATAACAGCTCTGCATGCCCGTCACCCATATATTATGGACAATATTACCCTCCTAAGCCATAGATGTCTCTGGATTCAGATGTGTTCAGTTTGTAGTCCTGTTCTGTGAGCCTCCAGTTATGCAGATCTCCCTTAATGAAGCCAGTGATGATAATGAAAATGAGAACCAAAAGGTTGCTTCCTATGGATATTTTGGTAACCAGGATTGACTCAGGAGCTCCCAGAACAAGTAGTCCTGTGGGACAGATGTAACATGAAATACTCAAACTATTGATACATTTATAGATACAGAAAGCAGGACACACTGGTCATAGAAACACCCTTTCCCCAAAAAACAAGAGACAAGCCCTCATATGTACATCACCAGAAGGTCAATACTAAAATCACATTGATTGTATTCTTTTTAGCTGAAGATGGAGAAGCTCTATACAGTCAGCAAAAACGATACCAGGAGGTGATTGTGGCTCAGATCATCAGCTCCTTGTTGCAAAATTCAGGCTTAAACTGAAGAAAGTAGGGAAAACCACTAGGCCATTCAGGTATGACCTAAATAAAATTCATTGTGATTATACAGTGGAGGTGACAAATCGCTTTAAGGGATTATATCTGGTAGGCAGACTACCCGAAGAACTATGGACAGAGGTTTCTAACATTGTGTAGGAGGCAGTGATCAAAACCATCCCCAAGGAAAAGAAATGCAAGAAGGCAAAATAGTTATCTGACATACAGATTGCTAACAAACACATGAAAAGATGCTCAACATCACTCATTATTAGAGAAATGCAAGTCAAAACCACAATGAGGTATCATCTCACGCTGGTCAGAATGGCTGCTATCAAAAATTCTACAAACATTGAATGCTGGAGAGAGTGTGGAGGAAAGGGAACACTCTTACACTGTTGTTGGGAATACAAACTATTACAGCCGCTATGGAGAGCAGTGTGGAGATTCCTTAAAAAACTGGAAATAGAACTGCCATATGGCCCAGCAATCCCACTGCTGGGCATACACACCAAGGAAACCCAAACTGAAAGAGACACATGTACCCCAACTTTCATTGCAGCACTGTTTACAATAGCCAGGACATGGAAGCAACCTAGATGTCCATCAGCAGATGAAAGGATAAGAAAATTGTGGTACATATGCATAATGGAATATTACCCAGCTATTAAAAAGAAAGCATTTGAGTCAGTTACAATGAGGTGGATGAAAGTGGAACCTATTATGCAGATTGAAATAAGTCAGAAAGTAAAACACCAATACAGTATATTAAAGCATACATATGGAATTTAGAAAGATGGTAATGATGACCTATATGAGAGATAGCAAAAGAGACACAGATGTAAAGAACAGACTTTTGGACTCTGTGGGAGAAGGTGAGGGTGGGATGATTTGAGAGAATATCACTGAAACATGTATATTACCATATGTGAAAAAGATGACCATTGTGCTTGATGCATGAAACAGGGCACTGAAACTTGGTGCACTGGGACAGCCCTGAGGGATGGGATGGGGAGGGAGGTGGGAGGGGGGGTCAGGATGAGGGGACACATGTATTCCCGTGGCTGATTCATATCAATGTGTGGCAAAACCCACCACAATATTGTGATTAGCCTCCAATTAAAATAAATAAATAAATTTAAGAAATGGTTGTTGAGGAGTCTTTACAAATAGCTGAGGGAAGATGAGAAGTGAAAGGCAAAGGAGAAAGGGAAAGATATACCCAACTAAATGCAGAATTCCAGAGAATAGCAGGGAGAGACAAGAAAGCCATCTTAAGTGAACAATGCAAAGAAATAGAGGAAAACAATAGAATGGGAAAGAATAGAGATCTCTTCAAGAAAATTGGAGCTATTAAGGGGACACTTCATGAAAGGATGGGCATGATAAAGGACAGAAATGGTAAGGACATAGCAGAAGCAAAAGAGATTCATAAGTGGTGGCAAGAATACCCAGAACT